ACGTGCAGCGTCCCCACCACGGGCAGTTCTCCGGCTACAGGAAGGAATGAGGACTGATTCACGTGCGGCGTCCCCACCACGGGCCCTTCTCGGGTTACAGGAAGGAATGAGGACTCATTCACGCTGCATGGAGAGCCTTGAAAGCATGATGCCAAGTGGAAGGGCCTGGCTACTCAGTAGTGGCCACTTCCCGCCTGGAACATCACAGGCACCACTGCCACGCTCCAGCATTTCCCTCCTGCCGTGGAACCAGCGGGGGCATACGGCAGGCCAGGAGCTGTGGATCCTGAGGGGCCCTGGACACATGGCAAACGCACATCCCCAGAAAGAGCCCAGCTCCCACTCAGGCCTCACGGATCTGTCCGCTGTTGCCCAAAAGCCCCTGAAGAAATCCCACACCCAGGGGATTTCTTACACCTTCGATTAACTAGGATTCTGTCCTGTACTTCAAAAAAAAAAAGAATCCAAGCAGCAACGCAAGCTCGCCGCCAGAAGCAGGCCAGCGGCAGCTCTCAGGAGGCAGCGCACACCCGGGCTAGCGCCACAGGCAGGAGGCCCAAGGACTGGCAGGTGCTCAGGCATCAAAACCAGACTCCCACTGCCAGGGTCTAACCTCTGAAGAACAGTCCACTTGAAGGGCTTCACTAAGCAGAGTGTCGGAGGTATTCTGACCTGGTGACCAAGCAAACCAAGAGTTCAGCAAACCAGAACAGCCACTCTGAAGGGCACCCGTGCCTCTGCCGGGGCTGGAGGCTGCGGGTCCCCGGTCTGTGAGCTTCCCAAGAAACTCTCCAATCTCATCCACGCAGCTGCCAGACGGAATGTTCAAAGACAAAAACCTAAGCTCAGTGGCTGGGGGTTGTGCATGCCCCGGGACTCCACCCCAAGCTTCTCAGCACCGAGGCCCAGGCGGCCCCGCCCTTCCTCCCAGTGCAACTACTTGTCACTGCGCCTTGGATTCCAGGCTGGCCCTCCTGCTGCCTTCTCTGAACGCCTGGCCTCAACCTGGCTCCCCCTCATCCCATGAGATATGGCTAAAATGTCACTTCATCCTGGAAGCCTCCTCTGACCCCTAAACCGGACAGGTCCTCACAGCAGCCCATGCTTCCTCTTGATAATGTGAATGCTAATTACTTTAATTAAGACTTTAAATTACTCATCTACAATCTGTCTCCTGTGCTATTAACCACAGGCTCCAAGAGGGCAGGGATCAGGCTTTCCTTGGTCTGTTGCCCGGCTCCCACAGCACAGGGCCAGGAGATGCTCTGTCAACACTCGCTGAATTGAACTGAAGTCACCTCCCAACCCAGCACCAGGGCAGGTGCTCCATGAAGGGCTGAGTGAATGACAAAACTGTAGCCCTAGGGAAGCTCGACAGCGCCCCACGCAAGTTAAACGTGTCTTTACAGCATAATGAAATGGATTTGTAATACACTATGTTGTAAACGCTTCTTTACAACAAAGTAAAATGGACTTGGACTATACTAATGGACATTCCCCAAACAGGAAGCAAGATCTAGAAAGGACTACAAATGCCACACGTGAAATCACAACCACACGTGAAATCCAAGACCAAACATTTTTCTAGGTCCGCTTTCTAGGTCTGTCGGTTATTCTCAACTGACAGGATAAATGGTACATTTTTACACAGATGTTCGGAAGGGACACTGTACACCCACAATGTGTAGTTGTGTTCTGATGTGTGCATGTGTGTGCACGTGTGTGTGATGGGGATACGCGTGTACACGTGTGATGGGGATACGTCTGCGTGTGCGTGTGTGATGGGGATGCGCGTGTGTGATGGGGATGCGCGTGTGCACGTGTGTGATGGGGATGTGCGTGTGCACGTGTGATGGGGATGCGCGTGTGCACCTGTATGATGGGGTGCGCGTGTGCACCTGTATGATGGGGGTGCGCGTGTGCACGTGTGTGATGGGGATGCGTGTGTGCACGTGTGTGATGGGGATGCACGTGTGCGCGTGTGATGGGGATGCGCGTGTGCGTGATGGGAATGCGCGTGTGTGATGGGGATGGGCGTGTGCAAGTGTGTGTGATGGGGATGCGCGTGTACACCTGTGATGGGGATGCGCGTGTGCACGTGTGATGGGGATGTGCGTGTGCACCTGTATGATGGGGGTGCGCGTGTGCACGTGTGTGATGGGGATGCGTGTGTGCACGTGTGTGATGGGGATGCACGTGTGCGCGTGTGATGGGGATGCGCGTGTGCGTGATGGGAATGCGCGTGTGCGCGTGTGTGATGGGGATGGGCGTGTGCAAGTGTGTGTGATGGGGATGCACGTGTGCACGTGTGATGGGGATGCGCGTGTGCACGTGTGTGATGGGGATGCGTGTGTGCACGTGTGATGGGGATGGGCGTGTGCAAGTGTGTGTGATGGGGATGCGCGTGTGCACGTGTGTGATGGGGATGTGCGTGTGCACCTGTATGATGGGGGTGCGCGTGCGCACGTGTGTGATGGGGATGCGCGTGCGCACGTGTGTGATGGGGATGCGCGTGCGCACGTGTGTGATGGGGATGCGCGTGTGCACGTGTGTGATGGGGATGCACGTGTGCGCGTGTGATGGGGATGCGCGTGTGCGTGATGGGGATGCGCGTGTGTGATGGGGATGCGCGTGTGCACGTGTGTGATGGGGATGTGCGTGTGCACGTGTGATGGGGATGTGCATGTGCACCTGTATGATGGGGGTGCGCGTGTGCACGTGATGGGGATGCACGTGTGCACGTGTGTGATGGGGATGCACGTGTGCGCGTGTGATGGGGATGCGCGTGTGCGTGATGGGAATGCGCGTGTGCGTGTGATGGGGATGGGCGTGTGCAAGTGTGTGTGATGGGGATGCACGTGTGCACGTGTGATGGGGATGCGCGTGTGCACGTGTGTGATGGGGATGTGCGTGTGCACGTGTGATGGGGATGCGCGTGTGCACGTGTATGATGGGGTGCGCGTGTGCACGTGTGTGATGGGGATGCGTGTGTGCACGTGTGTGATGGGGATGCACGTGTGCGCGTGTGATGGGGATGTGCGTGTGCGTGATGGGAATGCGCGTGTGCGCGTGTGTGATGGGGATGCACGTGTGCAAGTGTGATGGGATGCGCGTGTGCACGTGTGTGATGGGGATGCGCGTGTGCACGTGTGATGGGGATGCGCGTGTGCACGTGTGTGATGGGGATGCGCGTGTGCACGTGTATGATGGAGGTGCGCGTGTGCACGTGTGATGAGGATGCGCGTGTGCACGTGTGTGATGGGGATGCGCATGTGCGCGTGTGATGGGGATGCACGTGTGCGCGTGTGATGGGGATGCGGGAAGGCAAGGAGAGTGTCCCTGAGCTCATCTGAAAACGCCACTTACAGGACACAAATTCCATTTTCTCGTCTCTGCTGGACAATTAAGATCGTGGTCACGCCCCTTCGTCCTGTCTTGCCGACAATCGGGCAAATGCATTAAGAATCACTTGGGTCTTACAAGAGAAGTTGGTGGTAAAGTAGTTAAGACAAACATTTGCCACATTAATTAAATGGTCTATTTAACATGGAATATCAATTCTCTAATCACATCTCAGCTGAACTCCCCCTTTCAATTAACAGCGCTGACGTCTACTGACAGAGGTCCTACTGTTCTAGGATCATTAAGAGCATTTTCATTATCTGTCAAATGAGGGGTGAGAGGCAGAAAAGCAAGCACCCTCAGGAGCGGCCTCTCTGCTTAAGAGATGATTAGGGAGTGAGCAGCAACAGCTCTCAGTTGCTTAGCAATGAGGCACCCTCCTCTGAAATCATAAATGGGGACAAAGTATGACAGGGCTTGCAGTGAAATTCGGTTCATGGCTATGTCCCCAACCTCGGAGGATAATCTGTCCTTTGGTAAAGCTCATCTCTCCAGGTTACAGCAAGGGTGTGACTCTGAAGCCAACCACAAACTGCAAAGGCTAAAACTGCATGTCATGAAAACGGGCAAGCAGCAGGTCCGGAAGGCTTGCAGGAGACCAAACGGGTTTAGAGTCAAATGCGGCAACAAAACAGGCAAGTCCCGCTCTCCTGTGTTTTATTCACAGATGAATTAAAAAGCAGAGCCTCACTTTATCATCAGGGGTTTTAAGTTAAAACACATTCTAAGCAGATTCAGTTGTGTTCAGTTGACATGATAAAGAAAAGATACACAGTACTCACAAAGAAACAGCGTAGCCAACCTACACTGTTCCACCAGCGACAGGTAATTAATACTCTCAGAATACGGAATGTTACTAGTATATCAAAAGCAGAAAACTGATGAAATGCCACAGAAAAGTAACTAAAGATTTGGTTTTCATCTTGTAAGCAAAATATGCCACTGACATTCTAACACATTAACCTTATCCATTTAAATGTAAATCACTGGCTGGGCACAGCGGCTCACGCCTGTAATCCCAGCACTTTAGGAGGTCGAGGTGGGTGGATCATGAGGTCAGGCGTTCAAGACCAGCCTGGCCAACACAGTGAAACCCCGTCTCTACTCAAAATACAAAAATTAGCTGGGCTTGGTGATGCATGCCTGTAATCCCAGCTACTCAGGAGGCTGAGGCAGGAGAATCACTTGAACCCGAGGCAGAGGTTGTGGTGGGCTGAGGTCAAGCCACTACACTCCAGCCTGGGCGACAGAGCAAGACTCCATCTCATCAATGAAAAAAATAATTTCAAACCATTAAAGCCGACACTGTGCTGGCCTTTAGAATTAACTACACTCCCCAGGCAAACTGTTTATCCCCACAGATTGTTAAAAAGAAGATCTTACTAATCACAACTGCAACTTCACGATTCCAGTGGTCGAGCATGTGGATTAAAGACATTTTGGAAGCTGTGGTCAACAATGAGAAAACTCTTTCTCTAAGATTACTTATCATTAATAACAGTAAACTGAAGGGCAATTTTCGATATTTTTATAATTATGCATAGTGACACACAGCAAGTCCACTGAAGTTCACGTTTAATGTTTGCGAGAAATCTTACCTAAGTACTCGCAAATGAAGACCACGAAGAAAGGCGTGACGAGGTCATTGATCCCCTGAACGTACCCGCTGGCGGGGTGGCGGATGGCCCATATAAACAAGATCCTTTCAAAAATCTGAAAGAAAATGAACGGGTGGTAAAGTAAACAGAAACTTTAAAACGCGAGCATTCTGTTACTCAAAATGTGTATCATCAGTATTTTTACACTGTTCCTAATATTAAAATTCAAATGTAAACACATATCTATTGCTTTTTTTTTTTGAGACGGGGTCTTACTCTGTGGTCCAGGCTTCAGTGCAGTGGCGCCACCTCGGCTCACCACAACCTCTGCCTTCCAGGTTCGAGCAATTCTCTCAACACAGCCTGCCAAGTAGCCAGGATTACAGGCACAGGCCACCAGCACACCTGGCTAATTTTCGTATTTTTTGGTAGAGACAGGGTTTCACCATGTGGGCCCAGCTGGTTACGAACCCCTGACCTCAAGTGATCCACCCACCTCGGCCTCCCAAAGTGCTGGGATTACAGGTGTGAGCCAAACGCATGGCCCTTAATTTTTTTTTTCAATCAAGTGTCAATTATCTTAAGTATTTATCGTCTCACAAGCAATGTGGCCCATTTCATCCGCCCCTGGCCCAGTCCGCAGGAGCTCTCTGCTCCTCCACACCCCTCGGGCCGGGGTGCAGCGGCACCTGGCCTATCAGTGAAGGGAAGGCCTCCTCGGTGAGGGAGGGTGGATGGGTGAGCAGGCGAGGGGATGAATGGATGGACACGTGAGTGGATGATGCTCTAAATTTTCCTCATAACTTAAACAGGTTTCTCGAAACCCGTGAGAGTGATCAGCATTCAAGAAGACAAACTTAAACAACTTTCCCCACTTACAAAATCTCCCCAGGCATTCAGTTATCCAGCCCAGCGGCTTCCCTTCCAATACTCCCAATACATTCAGTTAATCCTTCTCTCCGCCATCCCCTGTCCCCACTCTCTCCCATCTTCACTCATAAGGAAGGTTGTATTATACTAAGGCACAACACAATCCTGTCACCCACACCGTACACACGGACACAGAGCTGAAGACCCCCCACCGACAGAGCCCCTCCACCACCACAGGCCCAGTGAGGTACCCCCTGCCCCTCAGTCTAGCCCCTGCGCCAGGGTCTCCCCAGCCAGCACCCACATCCTTGCTGCACTAAGCCACAGCACCCTCTCCGACTGAGCCTGCCAGCCATCAGCCCACACTCCTGCCACTGCCTGGAAAGCCTGCCCCTCCTGTACCTGGAGTCTCGACTGCCCTGGCTTTCATTTCTTCAAGCATCGCTCCCTCCTCGAAGACTCTGCTGCCACCTGATCCCTCCCCGCCCTCTTTTAGGAAGAGCCAACCACTTCCCACTTTGTGGCCCTCCGGTTCCCACTCCTCTCCACTGAGTCACCGGCTGGCGGCTCCAGCCTGACCTCCGGGCTGCCTGCCAGATAAGGCCGGGTGCAGCTGCTCCATCCAGGCCTGTCCATACAAACCAGGCACAGGCACGGGAGGGAGAGTTCAGGAGCAAACCTGACACATGCATGAATTCCATCACTTCCATATACACTCAGCCCCGCAGAGCCACCTGCACTTGCACCCAGGCAACTGCATGCCTCCTGCATTGCCTACAATCCTAAACCTTACTGGGCTTGGTCCTCTCCATCCCCACAATTACCATCCACCCAGGACTTACAAAGGAGGGACCTGGGGCCGACAGGTGAAGTCTCTCAACCCGCGGAACCCTTTGTAGAGTGGCATCGTCAGCCTGCAGTCCACGCAGTTGGTCCAATAAGTAACAGAGCAACCACCTGGCACTGCAGGCACCCGAGGGCGCTGCTGGGATGAGTATACATTCGGGCATAATCCATACACGGTTTTCGTCTCAGTCCACAACTTTCTACACAGAATTGAATATTTAGCATCGAAGACTGAACTCACTCAACAACACAGTGCCATTTAAGACTTCCTCACGCACAGAAGCTCAGCAAATGATGACACTGTTATTTAAGAAAGCTGCAAGTAGCGGCCAGCGGAGCCGTGCTGTGGGCAGCCCCACGGTGGCCCCAGAGGGAGATGAACGAGCAGGGCAGCAACAGGAAGGGCCAACAGCGCCTCACAAGTCACAGCCGTGCAGCCCCTGTCCTGCCCGGCCACTGGGGCATGAAGGTAGCCCAGGGGACAGCGTGTGAGACTAGAATACAAGCAGGCCAGGCCATGAGGCAGGCACAGGATGGGGGTGCAGCTCGGCAGCCCTCAAGTCTGCTCATCAGCAAGCCTCTGAGGAGCGTCTGAGCCCCCGAAAGGGTCAGGAGCACGGGTGGAGGGGACAGGGGCCACACAAGGACAGGAGGAGGAGCAACAGGAAAAGAAATGACACAGAGGTGGTGACTCCAAGGAAGCTGACCACACAGAGTCATGAAGAAACGGGGACACTTTGCCCAACACCTCCTCACCAAGAAGGCCCAGATGTCCGGGGCCACTGACATCCCTCCATGCACGTCCAGAGGGCTATGGCAGCCAGCAGCCACCAGAACCAGCTCTGTCGCCATGTGGTGTCCTCTACAGCCCAGGGAGCAGGCGGTGCAGCACCCCAGGAGCACGCACCCTGGACAGAGGGAGTCAAGGCAGGCACCACCCAGAGCAGGGGACAGTTGCACTGCAGGGCTTGAGGGAGGGGAGGAACAGAGAGAGGGGAGGGAGAGAGACACAGAGAGCGAGAGACTGTGTGTGTGTGTGTGTGTGTGTGTGTGTGTGTGTGTGTGTGTGTGTGTGTATTCAGGCAGCGGAGCACCCCCACCGTTTAACAAGGCCCTCACTTTCAGAGGGCTTGTCTCACACATGCACACACGCTGTCTCTCAAGCCTGCTCTACTCATAAGCATGAATGCAGTCCTACCCACAGCAGCCTAACGGCTGGAGAAAACCTATATGACAAATAGGACATACCCAGCTTCACCCAGGGAGGATGCCAACAGGAGCCCAACTCCTCTCCCGGCGACAATGTCCTGGGATCTGTGGAACCGGAAACGGGCTGCTGCAGGGGGAGAGAGCTGAGCAGGCCATGGCCCCGGACTCAGTTCAGTAGGAAGAGCCTCCGTGAGGCCGGGTCTACGAGCTGCACCTGAGACGGACTGAGTCGTGCCTACGCACAGCCTCAGGAGAGACACAGAAAGCACTATGGGGCCGATCAGCAGCACCTAACAGGCAGGGCGGGAGGCGGCTAAGCCTTCAGTCAGCAGACAGTGCTGGAGCACTGCACAGTGAGTGTCCTTTCACAAGCCAGCCAGCAACCCTGCAATCACGTGCTTCCCCCAGTCCAAGCCAGTGTGGAGGTGCCCACCCAGCCTCCTGGAAGTGCTTCCCGGCCTGGGGGGTCAGGCGCTCTGAAAGCACACGCTTGTATTACTATGAGGAAAAATGGAGAACGCCACTTTCTTATTGACTGAAGAAAGCTACTGGTCAGTCCAAAGCATTCCACTTAACTCTGCTTGATGTCCACTTTCATCCCACTAACATGTAAATAAAGGACGGCCGGCTCAAGCGTTGAACAAAAATGACCTTTACCGAGGCAAGCAGGCTGAAACAGTGAAAAGAGGGTGCCCGTGGAGGCGCATGACACCACACACAGCCTGGCTCGCCACTAAAAGCATGTGCCACTGCAGAGGCCCGCCCCTTAGAAAATTGCAGGGAGACCTGAGGACCCCACATGCCATCACCACTAGAGGAAACCCCAAAAGGCTGTGGCACCCAACCCCTTCTCCTCACTCCCCTGCCAGAAGCCTGACCACCTTCATCTTGTGCCCAGTCCACAGGGACAGTCTCCTGGCTGGTCGTCCTGCCATCACCCTCACTCCGCATCCCGCTGAGCAGCAGAAGATGGTGCTAAAAATGTCAGGTCACCCCATCTGTCCCCTGTGGCTTCCTGAGACACTGACGAGAAAACGCATTCCTGAGCAGGCTTCAGGTGCGTGCCCAGCTGCTCCCTGCTCTCTGGCTCCTCACTGGCACTGGGTGCTCTCTCGCCAGGCCCAGCCACTCTGCGGCCATCTCAGGCCTTGGTGCCACTGCTCTTTCCAACTGGAACCCCCTTTCTCCCAACCTTCCCAAGGCTCCCACGGTTCCACCCGAGGTCTTAGTTCACAGGCAACAAGCCCCTTTACCACTGCCCTACCCAAAGCAGCAGCTCCTCCACTGGCTCCAGGCCTGGCTCTCACCCACTTCAAGGTGAGTCCCTGGAAAGGGTCTCCTCAGGACTGACTGTGGCACCTTCAGTCCTACACGGATGGCACAGAGGACTGGGAAGCACTTTGTTGCTGAATGGAGGCGCAGGTGGCTGAGGCACTCCCTGGTGCCTGGCATGTGAGCCCTCCCCTTGGTCAGTTCTCCAGGTTTTGTGCCATTGGCAGGGCCTGGGCTCATCCTGGGGGTCTGTGTGGACAGATAATGCCAGGGGTGCCTGCCTGGGTTTGTGATCAGCCTCTCCCATCTGTTTCCTCTACTGGGCAATGCTGCAGCCTGGCACCTCAAAGGCCAACCAGTCAGGACCTCAGGACCCCCACCTGTCTGAGTGGAAAAATGCACAGAAAGGAAAAGCAAGAAGTAACTCCACTGAAACGGACAGGGAAGTTAGGCACACTCGGTGAAGGAAGACTGCACAGAGGTGACGGAAAGAGAGGCTGGTGAAGGCTGAGGAGGGAGCGGGAGCAGAGCCTTCTATGCAGAAAGAAGAGCATGTGCACACACACAGAGAAGAAAACACAGAAGAGTGTAGGCACACAGATCCACACGCACACAAGAGCGTAAGCACACAGATCCACACGCACAAGAACGTAAGCGCACAGATCCACACATGCAGAAGAGCGTAAGCGCACAGATCCACACGCAAAGAGCGTAAGCACACAGATCCACACACGCACAAGAGTGTACGCGCACAGATCCACACACACAGAAGAGCGTAAGCACACAGATGCACACACGCAGAAGAGCGTAAGCACACAGATCCACACGCAAAGAGCGTAAGCACACAGATCCACACACGCACAAGAGCGTAAGCGCACAGATCCACACGCACAAAAGGGTAAGCGCACAGCTCCACAC